TATAAAATGGGATAACAATAACACCTACCCACCAGGGTTGTTATGATGCTTGATTAATGAGATAACATTTATAAAGTGCTTAGCATAGTGTCTGAAACATAGCAGGCCCTTAATAAATACTTGTTTTTTATTTCCATGATCAAAATAGTCTTGTATTGTCTTCTATGTTTCTCCCTATCTCTAACTTGATATGTCTGGACCATAGAGGCACCGTGCTTCAGTGGAAAGAGTAATGACTTTGGAATAAGACAGGTGGGATTCAGATCCAAAGTCTGACACTTGTTACCTGTGTGGCCCTAAAAGATCACTTAATCTCTTCAGGCCTCAGTTTTCTCATCAGAAAAATGAGAAGGTTGGATTGGTCGGACTCAAGTCTCTTCCAAACCAGACCTATGATCGTATGGTCTTCTTTGAGGCTACTGCATAATTTTTTTCTTCTTCAACAACTCCTGAGATGGGGAAGTGGCTAGGTGGGAATTATTTACACTTACTAAAGAAACTTACTTTCCTAGAGGAATTGTTAAAGAATTTCTCTAGAAATACTAAGCTTTTCTAACATGCATAAGTATTTCGTTATAGACTGATTTCTTTGAAGAGAATGAGAAGAAAGATGAGGCTGATGAGGAGAAAGGACCCAGTAAGGAAGATCAAGCCACAGGAGCTAACAGAAAATTAAACAGAAATCTGGATACAGTCTTTCTGAGAGAAAAGAGCATTCCAGTGGGAATATGGGAGTTGATTTTATTTACACAGTCTGTGAAAATACAGAAACACAGCTATGTTTGTAGCAAATCCTTGATTTGAATAGGAGGTGCAAGGACTATAAGTGAATTAATCCCTTCCTGAGAATATATAACAATCAGGATTAGATTAGTGTGGCAATTAAGAAGCACAGTGCATAGAGTATGGGATCTGAAGTTAGGAAGATTGAACTTCAACTTGTGCTATAGGCATTTACTGGCTTGTGACACTCAACAAATCATTTGACCTTTCTCAGGTTCAGTTTCCTCATCTGTAAAATGGGAAGAATAATAGCCCAACCTCACAGAGCTGCTTTACAATATCAGACAAGGCAGATAATGTGTATAAGGCACTTAACAAATCTCAAAGTGACATCTAAATGTTAGCTATCACCTTTATTATCAATAGAAAAATCAGGAACTGGAGTATTGCATTAAGAGGAAGTGTCTGATTTCTGGGCTGGGGCCTGAACATGGAGAAGGTTGATATGATAACAGATATTTATAACAGTGCTTTAAGGTCTACAAAGCACTTTACATAAATGATATCCTTTGAACATCATAAACAGCCCTGTGAAATAGGTACTGCAAATTTTATTAATGTTATTATTATTATAGGTTTACCACTAAAGAAACTGAGGCTCAGAGAGATTACGTGACATGTCCCTACTGACAAAGTTAACAAGTGTCCAAGGTGGCATTTGAACCCATCCAATATCAGCACTCTGGCCACTTCTCCTGTGGAAGGAAGGTTAGAGGCCATCTCCCCCAACTCCTACATTTTACCGAGGCAAAGACTGTGGCCCAGAGATGGTTAAATGACTTGCCTACTGTCACCCAACTAGTGTCAGAAGTGGGTCTGGCACGAACATCTATTTCAAATCTAAGACTACGCCACTAAGTCAAAGCAGTATTTTTATAATTTGGCTTCAATTTCTGTAGCTATGACTGCTCTGCAACCATTTTGAATTAAAGTTCATGCTGAACCTGAGTTAAGAGAGAAATCTTTAAAGTCATCAACCTCTTCCTGACTTTCCTTGTATTACCAACTTCAATCCTATAGCAAAGGGCCCTAGGAAGAAAATTACCCTGGAATGTAAGTAATCAAATACCACCTGAAAACTAATACACTGGCTCAGCTTAACATTGAAAAAAAGTATTTTTAGCTGCCCTTACCAAGACCCCTTGTAGAGGAATAATTAAAATGAAATCTCTTTTTGCTTCAAGGGTGTGAGAGTACTATCTGTGCCAATGTAATAATTAGTTTTAGATTTTCCTCCTCATTTTTTCCCCTCTCTCCCTTTGGCACAATGGAATCATTTAGAGCCTTCATTTACTTACAATGCATGATCTTGTCTCACCAGCTGATACCAGGACATCCAGTAGCATATAATGACATATACTAGTAAACTGCAGTTCACTGATATTGTTGCACGGTCCTCCTCTGAGCATCACTGGCAAGCACCCTAGGCCTTATGTTTAGTCTCAGTGTCTGTATCTATGGTTGCTTCAAAGTATTATTTGTGTACCCTTCTGTAACCCAGGAAGAACTAGAGATCAATCCAAAGGTAACAAATTAGGGTGAGTCTATAGGAACCATGGGGGTGAAGCAATCTGCTTAGAATTCAATAGTAAGTGATCCTGACTGCAAAATGTATCCTCTTGCTTTAAGAAAATGTCATGAATGTCACGAATGTCATGAATGAACAAATACAAATGGAATGGACTTGTCTTCATTAATATCATGCTCTAACCAACCAAGATAATCTCCCTATTACATAAAGACCCAGACCCACAGGCTTAGGAGGACTTGAAAACAATGAAGTACTAGTGGGTCAATTGAGAATGGTAATAAAAATGATAAACTCTAGGACTATACTTTTTCATCCTTTAAATCATGCAAATGCATCCTTCTCATCAACTGATAAGCATAGGAAGGTCTGGGAAAAGTTTTGCAGACAAATAAGTTTGTAGGTTCAAAATACCATTGAGCCCAACCACATATAAAATGATAATCTGGTTGAAGATTCCTTTTATGGTTCCTACTGGGCCTCAACCTTCCTTCATTGCACTTGGATAAAAATGTGTTGCGCCTAATGTGTTACTATGTTCAGAGAATTATTCTCAACACTGGGAAAGATACAAAATAAAACTAAGTCATAATTCTTCTCTGCATCATCACCATCACCATCACCCTTATCATCATCACAATCATCACTATCATCACCATCATCATCACCATCATCATCATCATCAAGAATAGAGTCATCATAATAGCTAGCACTTTAAGGTTTATAAGAATTTACATATTTTATCTCATTTGATCCTCACAATAACACTGTGGGGTAGGGGTATTATTATAGCCATCTTACAGATAAATAAACTGAGGTTATATTATATTAAAATTTGATATACTACTTTGTTTAATAAGGCTTAATTAATTTATTATATATTAGTTATTCTCCCTTGGTATGTGCCTCTGAGCCCCTTAAGCTTGCAGCTGTTAGCTCCCTATTTAGTCACCCTCCATCCTTTAAATTGCCCTCCTCAAGACTTTCCTACCACAAAATTCTGATCTATATTCTAATCTATCAGAAATCAGTAGCATGTAAACTGCAAATTCACTATTCTCTCTCAGAAATTTCCAACCACTGGATTTTCAAGAGGATGTTAGTCCACCTTATGATAAACTGATGTAAGTTGCAGTTAGTGACCTTGGCACTGACCAATCAGAAGTGAGATATACCTCCGTTATGCCAGATTCATGTCACTGTCTATTTTGGGGTTCCTTTGTATGACTACATAAGAGCTGATTAGACTGTCAGATGCATTCTTGGTTCCTGAGGTGCCTTGGGCCCCATTTATTGGCAATTGCTAGCTTTGCTAATAAATTGATCATGCTCAGAACTTTGTTGTCTCCTTGTACCATTACTTCCATTGCAAGAGTTGAGAAAAGTTAAGTGACTTGCCCAAAGTCATAGACCTAGTAAGTACATGGAGCTTATAGGAAACCAATTATATTGAAATGAAGTTATTAAAATGTCAAAATAACACAAGTTCATGGATCCCAGGTCAGAACCCCTGCACATACAGGTAGAACTGTGAAGGCTTGATAACCAATTAGATTACATATGTGAGGGAAACAAAAGGGTAAATGATAAGTGCCTTTACTAATGTGTTATGCTGTCTCAAAGTTGAGGTATTTTATGAACCACTTACATCCTGCATGCTGCAAATTAAGCCAACTCCCTTCCCCATGGCATTTAGCAGAATATCAGTAGATATTCAAACATAAATGATTTGGACAAAGATCGCAGATTTAAAGGTGAAGGTACCTCCAATGTCTTCTACAACTTTCTTTTCATTTTACAGATGAGGAAACTGAGGCCCAAATGATTTGAGACAAGGTCACACAGGTAGGAAGTGCGGTACCATGACTGAAGTCAAGGTCTTTCCACTGTACTATACTTGGCAAAAGGTGCATGAATAACCCTCCTAACATTCAAAGAGCAGGTCCAGAAGGAAAGATAAAAGTTGTAGCTTGGGAGATGCTGATTTTCATGTACTAGTAAAACTTTTAGGCAGAGATGTGGGTTTGGAGCTGAGAAGTAGGAAGGGCAGGAAAAAGAGATTTGGAAGTTATCTGCATGAGTGGTGTCTGAAAAGATTGAAGTGAATGAAATGGCCAAGGGAGAGAAGGAAGAGAAGTTCAAGTACACATCCAAGAGGGAATAAGTCACACTTAACTCACATTTAAGCTACCTGAAAATGAGAAAAAGAAGGTAAGGAGAACAAAGTGATGGTCAGTGTCACAAAGGAGAGGGAGTGGACATGCAATTTCATTTGGCACAGGGAACTCCCACATGAGGGATCTCCTTCTATCAAAGCAATGGCACCTTCTCTGCAATTTATAGTCTTAGAGAATTGCCTAGAGAACTGAGAGACTAAGTGACTTGCCTGGGTAACACAGCCAGTATGTATCAGAGGTAGGACTTGAACCCAGGACTTTCTGACTTGGAATACAATTCTCTAACCACGATACTACACTGTCACTATTATCATACAGAAAGAAGCTAAAAATGACTACTATAGTTACAATCACATACACAGAGATAGATAAATGGCTAGATAGATAGAGGGGCAAGAAGGGATTGAGAAGAGGGAATAAACGGAGAGTCATTTCCTACTGGTTGATATCTATAAATCCAAGCTATAGCAACGGCCATGATACATTCCAAACAAGATTCAGAAAACCCTTACGGTAGCATATGTGAGTGGCTGAAGTCTTTCTTCTCAGAGACCTCAAAGTGTGGTGATATTTTTCCCAGCCCACTGTCACTCAGCATGCGTTTTCGAAGAGCAGGGTTCCACCAATCTGACATCCTTGTGGGAGAAAAGGACACCAGTTACTTCTTCAAGGTTAGCTTCTGGTCTATAGCACTTCATCTGTTCTCCCTCTAGCCCCACGCGGCTAGGTAATTTAGTCTAGGCTAGAAACTAATGTATTAAAACCAGAAGCAACCAATAAAATAGATTTCTCTCTCTTTCCCTCTCTCTCTCTCTCTCCTTCCTTTCTTCCTTCTTTTCTTCCTTTCTTTTTTTCCTTTTATCCTTATCACTATCCTAGCTGCTCTTTTAATAAATTTCTCACCCTGTTCTTCTTTATAAGTACCTGGGACATTTACTCCTCTATATCTCTGAGAAGAGATATCATCTTTGCCTCATTCTCTTTTCTCTTCTTTTTTGTACCATATCTGAAGCTAGGCTTTACCAAAGAAATGTGTGCTTTCCTGGTCAGACTAAGCTATCTCTGCATGCACTATACTGCTCCCTTTGGTCTTTGAAGTTGTCAGACTCGAAGCCACAATTGCCGCAGATGCTAGCCAACATGGTGGGTTTTTCCTCACTGGCTTCACCTGTAAAGAAGTGCTCACTCACCCTGAAGCTTGTTCCACCACCAGATCAGGCATCCCTGGCGGTGTCCCCGCTTGCTGTGATACCACCAATATCTGGATCCAGGATAAAAATCTCATCTTGTGAAATTTCCATCACAAAGTGCAAATGTTCCTAGGGAATATTATTATTATTGTTACTATTCTTGTAGTTGGTGTTAAAACAACAAAATGGATATTTATACAGTGCCTTAAAGTCTGGAAACTTTTTCACACATTATCTTATTTAAGCCTCACAACAACCCAATGTAGAAAGCACTATAGACACTGTTTTCATTTTCCAGTTGAAGAAAGTGAGGCTGAGACACTAAGTAACTCTCCCATAATCACACAGTTATTAAGTGTCGATAGCAGGTCTTCTTGACTCAAGTCTAGCAGGGAGAAAATATGGTCTGTCAGAATGGATATGGAGTGTCCCAGAACTACCACGTGGATTAGGATATTAAAAAAAAAAACTACCTTGGAAGGGGCAGATAGGTGGTGCAGTAGATAGAGCGCTGGGTCCGAAGTCAGGAAGACTCATTTTCCTGACTTCAAATCTGGCCTCAAGACACTTGACTGGGCAAGTGACTTAACTCTGTTTGCCTTAGTTTCTCATCTGTAAAATGAGCTGGAGAAGGAAATGAAAAACCACTCCGGTATCTTTGCCAAGAAAACACCAAATGGGGTCACAAAGAGTCAGTCGTGACTGAAATGGCTAAACAACAAAGGGCCTTGGAGAAACCACTAAGAATATAGCAGCAGACTTGTAGGATGTTAAATAGTCACTTAAGTCACAGCCTATCTCAACTCTAACAGAGTCCAGGAGGACCTTGGCTAAGGTTCTAGAGCTAAGGCTGGTTTTTCCCATCAGGAATGGCACTGGGGATGTGGACTAGACATGATTACCCTGGGCCTAAGGAGCTAAGGGTGATAAGTTTGCTCTGGAACCTCTCCTGAAGCTTAGCCTACTCATTGCTAGAGGAGTACAGGGTAGAGAGACGGCAGGATCAAGAAAGAGTAAAGATTTTATCCCCTTCAGTGTCTCTTAGGGAACCACAAGTGACATCATCTACTCCAAATATCTCCCAATGAGTTCAGTTCATCCTGTAGTACCGGACTGAGAGAATACAGAATTATTCTGGAAACTTGATCTTCCACAAATGCTGTCAAAAAAAGGGAATATCATTAGGCTAGCACTACTCCAAGACTGTGGTTCACCATTCCCTGGACTTAATTACCATTGGACAGAACTTATACAGAATCGATAGCAAAGGAATGCCCATCTCATCGCACTAAACTTCAAAGGCTAATCCAGGAGAATCCAAGGAGCTAAAAGTTCCATTAACAGTGACCAAGCTCTGACTGTTTTTAATACTGGATTTTCACTGAGTTTCTTTAAGAATCTATGATTACCAATGAACTAGGGGAATCTCGTCATAGGTGATAGATGATATTCTCTTGCTTTGGCAACAAAAAACCTTAAGAAAAGGTGAATGTTGGTGGAAAGCATTAAGTTGGATGGAGCTACTGAACACATTCTATAAAGGCTATAAACCTTTTAACAAATGTGCAAGATTAGTCTGCAAAGGGGCAGCTAGGTGGCACAGTGGATAGAGCACTGGCCCTGGATTCAGGAGGACCTGAGTTCAAATCCAGCCTCAGACACATAACACTTACTAGCTGTGTGACCCTGGGCAAGTCACTTAACCCCATTGCCTAACCAACAACAACAACAACAAAAGATTAGTCTGCAAAGGAATTAGCGGTTCATGGTCCTGACTGGTATGTCATTCCAGAACCTCTGCAGGTTTTCAGAACAGTCTATAGGAAGAGACAACAAAATTTATTTACAGATAAGGAATTGTCATTTGTACACTGAGGGGAACTCACCTGAGCTCGGTCTATTCGATAAAAGCGATCAGCAGAAGTAGCTAGGAGAGAAACAGACAATGAAGAGCCACATTACAAGGAAGCTCTGATCTCCAACAAGCCTAGTTAGCAGTTAGTAGACTCAGACTGCTTCAGAAAGTGAGGGAGATTGCATTTGGAGTGAGGCTCTCAAACAGTCTAGCTTGAGGGTTCTGTGTCCTGGGGAAGGAATTCTCAGTTGCTCCAAGTATTTGGAGAGGTTAAGTCAAGGCTTTGCTATTAAGGATGGGGCGCTCATTAAGCACGAAACTCTAGGATCATTTTTATCAAGGCTTGGACAAGTCCATGCTTCCAGGACTCTATGAAAACACTGGTACACGTACTAGGAGTGTGGGTTAGAATACAGCTAGGTGTTGCAGTGCATAGAGTGCTAGATTTGGAGTGAGGAAGACCCGAGTTCAAATCTCGCTTCACATACTTTCAAGCTATATGTCTCTTGGTAAGTCACTTCACCTTTCTCTTTACCTTCTTTTATCTGTTAAGGATAATAATGGGGTTATTATCCTATCTCATAGGGTTGTTGTGAGAATAACATGAGATATTATATGCAAAATGCTTTGTAGGGGCATCTAGGTGGCATAGTGGATAGAGCTCCAGCCTTGGAGTCAGGAGGACCTGAATTCAAATTCTGCCTTAGATACTTGACATTACTAGCAGTGTGACCCTGGGCAAGTCACTTAACCCCAACTGCCTCACCAAAAAGCAAAACAAACAAAATGCTTTGTAGGTCTTATTTCACTAGTTAAATGGTAATATTATTACTATCCCTCATGCTATGAGATTCTTGTCCATATCCTCCTAGAAATCTTCCACAGAAGACCTAGCCAATAGGCTGGAGACCTCCCTTTATATAGGCCAGCATAAGGTAAAACACAAATGTCAAAGGACATTGGGCTAGGGTTTGTTCCATGACAGACAGTGGGTCACAGGATTACAGTTTCTAGAAGCTGCAGTGTAGGCTTCTGGTTAGTTAGTTACTCCATTTATTAAAGTGAATAACAGCCCTCCTTATTTGCATTTTTATCTAAGTGGGCCTCAAGCATTACCACCACAGTCCTTGAAGCCAGAGGAAAGCACTCAAGATCAGGCAAAGAAAATTCAGCCTTGGGAAGGACTCAGTCATTAACAACCAATACAGTTTTATCTTTTACTGTAGCAGAAACTCACATGATGAAACAGACATGATGAAACTTTAATTGAGTAAAATTGGCTTCTGTGTTAAAACTAAACACCCATAGCAGTATCCTGCATTCAACTTTTTTTCTCAGTTTATATGCAAAGTAGCCTGGCTGATATAAAAATATATAATACATTTCTCTAATATGTTAATTTGCTCTTCTGTGACAAGGTTCAGGAATACTCTGTGCTTGCTTTCACCTTACCCCTGCCATCTCAGCCCTTGACAAGTCTAGAGTTAAATCCTTATGTTATTCTGAAAGAAGGGAATTATTTTGAATAAAATTAAATTCCTAGTCAAGGAGCCTCAGGTATCCCACATGGGCAGGACCTACACCCTAGGTTGAAAGACACTCATGGAGTAATAGTATCAACGATATTTAGCATTTCTATGAGCTTTAAAATTTGTGACGTGCTTTGCATACAACATTTCATTTGATATTCAGAATATGCCTGTGAGGTATGTGCTATTATTATTATTGCTGTTGTTGTTGTTATTCCACTTTTTCAGGTAAGGAAATTGAAGCTCAGAGATGTTGAATGAATTGTCTGAGGTCCCATAGCTTTCAAGTGTCTGAGGTTAAACTCGGGCCTTTCTGATTCCGAGGCCAGAAGTACATCCACTACACCAGTGATGTCAAACTTGAAGCCGGCTAGCGCAAGCAGCCATGAAACTCCCTTGTGACCCAAAGTATTTGTAGTCAGAAAACATTTAACAAAATTTAAAAAAATGATACAATATAGATGATGTTTATTTGTGGTTTTCTAAGTCAATATGCTGCCCAGAAGGATCTTCTATTTGAGTTTGACATTACTATACTGCACCATGCTACTCCCAAAGTACACAGCTTGTACAATACTGTCATTCCCTCTTCACATACAAATACCACATATACCCATTCTCACTCTCACCCACACACGCAGACTATAGTCATGAGATCTGTTGGGGGAAAAAAATCCATAAACACTGTTCTTTAAAGAAGTAACTTTGAGAAGCTATATACCAATTCCTGAGTTGGTATTTACAGAACTCCTCTTTTGGAATGGTCTTCAGAGACACCTTACAAGCTTCATAAAATTGGTCTCCTTTATTTTATAATCACATCTCATACAGTCACATATATTCATTTAGAACTAATCTTGATTGCATGCATAATACTATATAGTCTCTTTTATCCACAGGATACATTGCCTCCAGGTGTGTGCACATACTCCATGAGCACATATGCACACAGAGGGAGACATACAGAGAAAGAGACTAGAAAATACAGTGCTTGGATCAAGAGTGTTCTGAAGGCCCATCCCATCACACTAGGTTTTCCAGTTGAAAACTAGGGCCTGGTTAGTTCTCCATACTAAACTCAGTTTTCCTAGCTATTAAAGATCACCACTGTTATTTATAACATGTAAATAGTATTTTATTGCTATCAAACACTTTGCATGTGTTATCCCTGTTGAGTCTTGCAATAGCTTCATGTGGTAGGTAAGGCAAATAATTCATATTTATTATCCAGATGAGAAAACTGAGGTGTCCAAAGCCACACAACTAGTCAGTGGCTTATGATCCAGGTTTTCTGGCTTCAGATCCCACAATCCTTCCATAATGACAGACTAATAGAGCTAAATATTCCTGTGCTAGTGTAGTGCCAATTCATTCCTTTTCTGTCACCTTCCCAATTCTCTTAGTCTCTTTCTTCAAACCATAGCTTGTCCAACAGACTCCCCATTCCATCTCTTCATTTTGTTTTTATTTATTTGCTTTCGTTTGTTTGCTAATTAATCAATAAGCATTTATGACAAGCCTATTATGTGCTAGGCTTTGTGGGAAGCATTAGAGATGCAAAGACGGAAACAATCCTGCCTTGAAAGGTAGATTGGCCTGGCCTGCCAGACAGAGAGCCAGCCAGCTTCAAGCAGGAAGCCAGGATGTTCAAATCCAGTCTCCAACACATCCTGGATGTATGATCTGGGACACAGCAGGTAGCCTGTCAATAGCCCCAGACTATAAATTGCAGAACAGTTGCAAATTTGCATGGCTAGAAGGAGCTTCCTCACCATGAGATCCCACCACCAATTAAATCACAAATCAGGATATACATTGCCACATATTTATATCTTAATGATGCCCCTCCTTCTAGCATTTTCTCTTCAGAAACCTCCCTGTCTCCCCTCTCTAGATCCCTCTCCATTGAATGTAGGGGGGAGGATGAGAAAAGGGGATGGTGAATAACGAATTCACCCTACCAACGAAGGACAGCTCTCTAGCCTTCAAACAAAAGCAGGAACACTTACCATCTAGGAAGCACCACCTGGGGGAAAGTCTCTGAGCTGAAAGAGCCCTGGGGAAAGAGGTTTCCTGATCCTGAAAAGAGAGAAACAAGATTCTGGACTTAGAGGTGGGAGGGACCTTAGAATTCATCTAGTTCTAGGATGATAAGAGAACCCATAGGCTAGAGTGAAGCCTACGGACTCCTCAGAATAATGTCTTTAATGCATAAAATAAAACATATAAGAACACAAAAGAAACCAATTGTACTGAAAAACTATCAAAATATTTTTTTAAACCACATTTATGGACCCCTGTACAGAAGTCCTGATATAGTGCAACTTCTTCATTTTATATTTGAGGAAACTGAGGCACAAAGAGGTTAAATGATTTGCCCATTGTTATACAGGTAGTAAGAGGAAAAGTCTGGATTTGAACCCAGGTCTTTTAGCTGCAAATCCAGTACTCTACTGCACCATGCTGCATTCTAAGTAATAAAATATTGATAGAATTATTAACACTGAAATTTCACCTCAGGTAACCACCTGGTTCCAGTATCAAATAAACCAATAAATTTTATTTTACCTCTTGTCACCTTAACAATAAAGTAGACAAGACAGAGATCCTCATTCTCACTTAACTTCTTGGGGCCTCAGTTTCCAGAGGGGTCAAGTGAAAAACCAAAGATCACACAACCATTTAGAAGCCCAGACAAGACCAGAAACCATTTCTTTTTACTTCTATCCTTATGTTTCCCAGAGGATGAGGAAGTGTACACATTCTTCTCTGATTTTAAAATCTAATGTTTAAACTATATAGAAACAACCTTCTTCATAATTCTTTATTACACATCTCCTAAGTCACTAAATATTAATCATTCCATTCACAGAAGCACCTATTATAAATCAGGCACAATTCTAGCTACTGAAGAATCAAAGACAAGAATGAAACAGTCCCTCCTCTCATAGAATTGACATTCTATTGAGAGGTAAAACAGGAATGTTTGCAAATGCTACTATCAGTCTGGCCTCAGATACATAACACTTACTAGCTGTGTGACCCTGAGCATATCATTTTACTCCACTGCCTCGCAAAAAACAAAACAAAACAAAACAAAAAAGAAAGAAAACACTACTATCCTAGCACAATAATTAATCCTTTGCTAAATATATGTCAATGGCTAGAATACTGTGCAGAGAGAATTCTATTAGGAAATGAATGCAGGAGGGAAAAAAAGACAACTTTAGACATAGTTTCCAGTCATAATTTTCAAGAGGTGTCCAATTATTTTACTAACAATTCATTATTATGGCAAACAGGATGGTTTCAGAAAAAAAACTGGAGACACATGAACAGATACAAAGTGAAGTGAGCAGAACCAGGAGAACATTGGACACAGTAACAGCAGTATTATAAGGATGATCAACCATGAAAGACTAAGCTCTTCTCAGCCATACAGTGATCTAAGACAATTCCAATGGACTTAGGATGGAAAATGCTATCCACCTCCAGAAAAAGAAGTGATGGAGTCTGAATGCAGATCAAAGCACAGTTTTTTTTAAACTTATTTTTCTTGTTTTCTTTCTGGTCTGTGTTTTCTTCTGCAACATGGCTTATATGGAAATATGTTTTGCATGATTGCACATGTATAATCTATATCAAATTGCTTGCCTTCTCAAGGAGGGGGGGAGTGAAGGGAAGAAGAGAATTTGGAACTCAAAATCTTACAAATGTCAAAAATTGTTTTTTATATGTAATTAGAAAATAAAATAAAATGAAACATGAAATGTTTTAAAACAATTCATAATTAAGATAGCTTAGGGGGAAAAAACATTATAAAGACATTTTCTTTCCTTTTCAAAACTAAGGAAAGAATAAGAACCAGTGGAGGTACTGATGTCACTACTTTCCTGTTCCCCATAATGGTAAAGGGCATTAGAACATTTCAAGTTTCCCCAGTCAAAACAGATTTTCTCTACTAGGCAGACTTACTATTAGCTACGCAAAATTATTTTGCTTTTTACTTAAAATCTCTGGGTAGTTGACAATATCACAGATTTAGAGTTGGAAAGACTCTTAGAGGTCACTTAGCCCAACCCCTCATTTTAAAGATGAGAAACTAGGGCCCAGCAGATTAAATGCCATATCCAAGATGACACAGCTAGCAGCTGGCACGGGATGGCACCAAGTCAAGCCAACAAGCATTAATAAAGTGATTATTATGTGTGTCAGTCATTGTGCTACGGGCTATGTTTCAATCCAGGTCCTCTGACTCTACCACTTGAATGATCCAAAGGATGTAAAACACCATAATGAAAACTGAAAAAAATAAAACAAATAATTCTTAAATAATGTATTTAGGTACTACCTTCCATCCCATATGCTTTAGCAATAGTAATAGCGTTTAAATAAGGGCAGCTAGGTGGCACAGCTGGTGGAGCGCCTGGCCTGGAGTCAGTAAAACTCATCTTCCTGAGTTCAAATCTGGCCTCAGACACTTATTAGCTGCGTGACCTGGGAAAATTACTTAATCTTGTTTGCCTTAGTTTCCTCATCTGTGAAATGAGCTGTAAAGGAAAATGGCAAATCACTCCTGTATCTTTGCCAAGAAAACCCTAAATGGTTTCATGAAGAGTAGGATATGACTGAAACAACTGAACAATAACAACAACAATCATTTATATGGAGCTTTAAGATTTGAGAGTGATACACGTATGTTAACTCATTAACTCACAACATCTCTGGGAGGTAGATGCTATTATTATCCCATTTTTCAGATAGTGAAACTGAGGCAAACAGGTGTTAAGTGACCTCCCCAGGATCAGACAGCTAATAAGTGTCTGAGGCTGGATTTGACCTCAGGACTTCCTGATTCTGAGTCCAGCATTCAATCTATTGCCTAGTGAATTCTATCTAGCTGCCTACTTGCTTTCTCTGTTCTTGCCCTAAATGGGAAACTCAGTTTCCTTTTCTCATCCCCCTTGATCTCTCTATCACTTTTATTTCTTTCAGGAAATGCAGGATACATCAACAAATAAAAATTCTAAGGAGAAGAGAATTCAGAAGAAGGATATGGTTCAGTTACACCTCCAAATTCTTAGCAAGTTCTATCTGCCTAGCTGTCTGGATTTATGGAAACAAGTTAGAAAAGTAGAGGTCACAATGCTTTGTCAAGATTAACTGAAAACAGCTTTGAGGTACCATATCACACCTATCAGATTGGCTAACATGACAAAACAAGAAAATGATAAATGTAAGAGAAGATATGGGAAAATTGGAACATTATAATGCATTGTTGGTAGAGTTGTGAACTGATCCAACCATTTTGGAGAGCAATTTGGAACTATGCCCAAATAGCTATAAAAATGTACATACCCTTTGACCCAGAAATAGCACTTCTAGGGCTGTATCCCAAAGAGATCATAAAAACAGGAAAAGGACTCCTGTACAAAAAATATTTATAGCAGCTCTTTCTGTGGTGGTGAAGAACTAGAAATTGAGGGGATGCCTCATCATCAAGTGGGGAATGGCTGAACAAATTGTGGTATATGAATGTAATGGAATACTATTGTGCTATAAGAAATGATAAGCAAGTGGACTACAGAAAAATCTGGAAAGACTTGTACGGACTGATGCTGAGTGAAGTGAGCAGAACCAGGAGAACATTGCTGCGCAGTAACAGCCATGTTGTATGATGACTAACGTTGATAGACTTAGCCCTTCTCAGCAATGCAAGGATCTGAGACATCTCCAAAGGTCTCATGATGGAAAATGCTATCCATATCCAGAGAAAGAACTATGGAATTTGAATGCAGATCGAAGCATGCTATTCACTCTTTTTTTTCTTGTTTTGTTTTGTTCCTTCTTTCTTGTGGTTCCTCCTATTGGTTATAATTCTTCTTTACAATATGACTAATGCAAAAATATGTTTAATAGGAACATATATGTAGAGCCTATATCAGATTGCATGCCATCTTGGGGGTAGGTGAGAGATGGGGAGAAAATTTGAAATTCAAAAGCTTATGGAAGTGAATGTTGAAAACTAAAAATAAATTAATTAATTTTTAAAAATATTAACTGAAAACAGATGACTTCAAGCTTTCTAGGGTGGGAAAATAATAATGATACAGAAAGTGTGAGAGAAAAATAGTTTGGGGTATATGTCAAGATAAGATAATGAATTGGGGGTAAAATAGAGTATCCAAGGGGAAATACCATGTATGTGATTGGAAACAGAACACTGGTATGTGGGTAACAGTTGGAGATGGCCATTTGGATTGGATGTATTCAGTTTAGAAGTGATTACTAAAACAAAAATGTGAATGAGCTTACTAAAGTAGTAAATAGAGAGAAGGGCAGGAGGTTGAGGTCAGAGCTTCAGAAACAGGAAGGGGCAGGTGAAAGAAAGTAGTCCAGCAAAGGAGAAAGAAGAAGCAAAGTCACAATAACACTCAATGAATCATGAAGTTAAATAGGGCTGACACCATCCCACCAGCCCTAGGCAAACAGTGTACCTAAATACCTTAAGGCAAGTACAGAGCTAGCCTGTTCTTAACGATCTTGGGACAGTGAGCTTTCATCCTCTATTGATTCAGAAATTTGACTGAGAATATGGGGCAAACTGTGACTGACTCAGGGTTGGGAGCAGGTAAGTTCTTGGATCCTGGAGGTCTCAGATGAATCAAATACCAAGGAGAGTGTTGCCAAACATAATGAAATAACCAAGTGATGGATTTGAGGATCTTCTTATTACTTCACACCCTCACTTAAATTCTATCACTGACTCAGACCCTCAGAAGAAGGTCTGGTCATCAGCAACAATGACAATGGTATCCAAATGAGGCTATGAACAGAAAATACGAAGCTCTGAGCCCAATTTTAGGTTCCCTTTTTGCCACCTCACTGCCCTGTTCAATAAACTGCAACAATATAAAGTTAAAGATACTTGATGCAATGATGACTTTTTACTCATTCTAACAAAGTCCATTTGTATATGGATCAAGGAGTTAATTTCCAGAGTTTAAATCCACCATGTCCCTAGGTTGAGATATGAAAACTTAGACAGGATATGCCTTCCTTCACTGATGATGTGTATG